TTCGGGAATATTATCCTTTATTCTTGAAGTTTTAGGTCTTAGGTACCAAGGATTATGCTTTGGACATGATGCCACACCTTGGCAGGTCCTGATTCTACCATATGTTGTAAAAACAAACTCGAAATTGGATTTTAAGAGAATATGCCATTCGATGTATCCCTGCCGAAGCAGTGCATTGCCATTCGGTGTATCCCTGCCGAAGCAGTGCATCACCATGCCATTGTTGGCTTCAATGGTTTCTCAGCTTCTTGATAGTCAAGTGGAGATTCACGTCTTGTACCCTACATAAAGTGGTTTATATTAGAAACGTCAAAATCAGAAAAATCAAACTTGTGACGGTTCGACAATCCACTGAATTGGATGGAACAAGATTATGATTGGTGCTATGGGAATGAATCATCCATAAACATCAAAGTTAGAATATTCGAGTTCTAAGACATGGTTTTCATGAAAAACGTTGGGTTTTCATGGGTGTATTGTTTTATGAAATCTTCGGGTTTCAAAGGCATTGAATTTGAAACTACATGTTCAATTTAGTTTATGAACGCTTAGTTCATAAAAGAGAGGTTCCTGCAATGAAACACATAATGCAATATACAACTAAGTGTAGTGGATTTGAGTTTCTTCGGGAACTCAAGTGTGAGTACTTCGGGACTACGAAAGTGAGTCAACGGTCCAAAGAGAAGAAATAAAATATTGAATCGTTAATGTCCAAAAGTGATCTTCAGGTCAATAATTTTGGATTCATTATCAGAATAATGGACTCAATGTCACTTTTAATTAATTCAATTGATCGGGACCATTCAAGGTCGATCGTAGAAGCAAAATATTACAAAGTTTTAGGCCATATTTGTGGGCTAGACGGCTACGGGCCATACAAAAGAAACAACCTAAAATTGGTTAAGGCCGTGAAATTGGGCACCAAAAATAAAAAATTTATGAGTGCGGGTTGAAAAAAAAAACAAGCCCAAAGAATGGCTTTGGGCCAAGAACTAAAGGCAACCCAACAAAGGATTGCTAGCTGCTGTCCAAAATAGGGTCCTGCAGCAAAGGCTGCTTGTTGGGCTCATGACCAGGCTGCACGGAGCAGCCCATGCAAGTTAGGCGATCTGTAATTGCAGCAAGGAGTGGGCTAGTTAGCTGCTGGCTGATAGAAGGTGGGTTGAGAAGGCCCAGTAATGCAAAAAGGGTTGCTGGTATGCGAACCGAGACCTGAATGCGGTCAGATGCAGAAGCCCATATTGTTTTGGGTACGCCCCTTGGCTTAGCTTCAGGCCAGCAAGGCGCAGCACAACAACTTTCCCTTTATTTATTTTCTTCAAATTTCTAGGGTTTTCAGAACCCCAAAAAAAATCATGCTTCTATTTTATTTCAATTCTTTAACTCATAAATTCCACATAGTGATTTTATAATTACGTAATGCATGAAACAAATATATATATATTGACAAATATACGAACATATACAATATATGTGTGTGTGTGTGTGTATATATATCGGAAGGAAAATATAAACATAGGGAGATTCATGAATCATGGGGAATGGTTTCGTGCTTCAAGGTCGTTTCAAATATTTTACTTTATTTTAAGTGTACCTGATTGCAGAAAACAACAAGAACCTTTGAATTTGTAGAAGATCATTCTCATAAAGCCAAAATTGCATCTCCAATGCATTGTTTCACGTTCAACACAGAAAAAATTAAATTGAATCAATAGTATGTAGATCAATTCAATAAAATAAGAATTAATCATAAAAATAATGATTAAAATGTAATACTCCCCAGATTGAAGATCAAACTCTCTTTAGCGCAACATCAAGAGTGTGCTGATAACGTGTTGTAGACATAATTTATTGAACAATTAAGGAGGCCATAGAGAGAGGGTGCGGCACATAGAGAGAAAGAGAGAGATGTGTAATTATGAGTGTGTTCTATTCCACCCTATTGTGCCTTTAGTTATAGTAGTAGGATAGGTAAAAACCTTTCCCTTTAAGATTACAACATTTAATAGGTAATCAACTCCTAATAGGAATATAAGAGATATTCCAAGATATACTAAGATTTATACAGTCACAATCCTATTCTAATAGGACTGCAACAAAGACAAAATAAAAAGTAAAGTGAATAGTACTAGAATTGATATTTTAGTGTAAAAATGTGGTTTTTCGTTAAAGTGAACAGTACTAGGAGCTTATGGTTAAAATTCCCAACATTTATTATTACTCTACATTGAGTTTAATTTTATGGTTTTTTTTAAGGAAAACTAATGAAAAGGGCTTGAAAACTTTGAGTTTTAATGATAAGGACAAAATAAAGGGTAAAGTGAATAGTACAGGATTGACTTTTTAGTGTAAAAATGTGGTTTTTCGTTAAAGTGAACAGTACCGGGTGCTTTTCGTTAAAGTTCCCTTTTTTTTATTGTGGTGAAGATTATGGTAATAGTAAACAAGAGTTTCTTCACAGTTAAAAATGATAGACTATGTATTCGTAAATCATCCGATGACCGGGCGAACATAAATAAATATATTAAATGAAAATATAGGAAGTAAAGGAAATAGGTGGTGATGATGCATTGTGTTGGATAATCAAGGCAATCATGTGCAATGCCTGGGGAAAGCAGCATTCATTTCACTGTTCATGATGCACTTACCTCAGACGAAACATCCTCGATTGCCCACAAAGATTTCAAACCACATGTACTGATTTTGTACATCAACTTTCCCTTTATTAAATTATATTTACTTTGCCTTCCCTTAGTTTATGTAAATGATCATTTCAAGGTGGTTAAATATCAAAAGATCTGATCCATCAACTTGTGCGTCGGACAATCTTTGGCCGGTACAGTGGTACCGCTTATGCTCAAAGCTGATTATTAACTTACAAGTTGTTCCAACAAGTAAGATTCATGTATTATAGGTTCTACGTTCAAATATCAAAAGGTTCATCTTTGTTAAAATTGTAAAAATAAAACCGAACAATGTCACTGGTTCGACTTGATTTGGTTCGTTTTGATTGTTTCTATTTGATTTTTTAGGCTTGCCTCATCAATCACTTGCGGCCCAAAGCTTAAATCCAAACCCTCTTGCATGAATTCATCAACGAATTCAAAGAGAAATACTAAGAAGATAATGATGGAAAAAAGAATTGAAAAAAGGACCAAAAGTTGAAATGCTTATTCTCTTTTTAGTCAAAGCCATATATATACTTGTTTCCATTTTTCTTCAACATTAAACTATTATTTTTATACACAAGATCAACCAAACTTCAACACACAGTTTATCATATTGATTTCCCCTTTTTTTGGCAACAAGTATTTATTTTGAATATGCTAAATTATTTTAATTTAACATTAATGTAGATAGACACACATAAACCGAATGATTCTTTTCTTAAACAATTTAATGAATGAGAAGGCGAGTGTGCAATGAGCTTGCATCTAGGGGTGGACATAAAAACTGCAAAACTGCATCGAACTGCGACAAAATAAACTGTAAAAAACTGTGTTGACAAAAAAGTCAACTTAGGTTCAAGAACTGGACTGAGTCGTTCATATCGATTCTGATTACGGTTTTCATCTTGACAGAACCGCCATAATAGGATCGAACTGTTTATTTATTTATTTTTTAAATCTATTTCACTTAGCCCATTTTTTATATTTTCCCAAATGAACCTTAATGTTTAAAGCTCTCATTATTGTTTTTTTTTCCTCATCTCTTCCTCTCTTCTTCTTTTGCACCACCCCACTTTTCCATTTTCTTCAGTTCTTCTTCTCATCAATTATCCCAACATTTAGCCTCCATCTCATAATATCCCAGGCATAAGTTTTCTTTCTTATAAGCTCTCCTTGATATTTTTCTAATGGTTTACCAAAATTAGAATTTATTTTATTTAAGAGCGTTGCAGGAAGTAGTATTGTTAGACATTAATTGAATTTATATTTCTTTCTAGCACAGATTTATGTATTTATGGCATGCTCTAGCTCAGTATTGGGGTGGAGTAAAATTAAATAGGGGTGGGCATAAAATCTGGAGAAGTAGAAGATTCGTCTAAATATGTATAATTTTGGTTATAACTGTAAACTGATATGAATCGAACCGGAATCATCGTGAATCAAATTGTATGATTTTATTAATAAATTTGAGTTGTTAATATTTTACGATTCCAATTCCTATTTGAAAGTGGAGCAAACCGAAATGGACCGTGCCCTCTCCAACCCACGGTCGGAAGGTAGCTGTATCAACTCAAATCTGGTACTAATCCCTTCATGCTTATCATCTTTTAAATGCTTAACCCATTAATTAATTAATTAATTAAATTCCCCATATTTGCACTGCCCCAACCCAATTCAAATTTTAAACACAGAAAAACGCCATGGTGTAGGTAGACTGTTAGAATTTAAATCATGACCGCCTGGTGTCGGTCGACAGTGAAGGCCGTTGGCGTCTCACAGTCTCATCCAAGCGCCAGGTATACAGCTGGACTGACAGCTTGTCAGTCACGACCCGATTTCCCATTTCGCGACCGCTCTTGTCGTTTTCTCCACATCAGCGGTTCCGTGCGCCCCAAAAGAACAATAAAAACAAAATAAAATAATAAAGTTTACGAAACGGAACCAAAAATCTTAAAATCTTTCTCACGTAAATGCTCTCCAGCCTGGCTCAGTCAAACTTATCCTCAACTGCCACTCCATTATCTCCCCAATTTGTCGCTATATTATGATAAATTTGTTTCCTTAAGTCAAAACGGGAAACGAACTCAAAACGCTGTCGCTGGAGAAATATCGTGGCGCCGATATTTTAGGGGAGTAGGGTTCTCAGCAATCCAGAGGGGTCGACGTGGCAACGCGTGGTGGTTATACAGCTGTAGAGTGATGTAACGGGTAACGGGTAACGCAGCAGTACCGGTTGCCATAACGCCTTTTACCCGATTCGGTTACCCTAGGCCCCTCCTTTATAAACCCCTCCTACTCGTCTCTGCCTCTCTCACAATTCTCCGAGCCTCCACGGCCGAGACTCTCTCTCCCTCCCTCTCTCCTCCAATTGTGTAGATTATTTATCCCCTTTCAAATTTTGATTTCGTTTTTATCTAGGGTTAGGGTTTTTCATTCATTCATGGATCAACAAGAGTCGGCAGCAATGGAGTCTTCTGCGATGGTGCAGAGAGAACTGGATCGGGTTAAAGGTCCCTGGAGCCCCGACGAGGATGAGAAGCTACGGCAAATCGTTCAGCGTTACGGCGCTCGCAACTGGTCAGTGATAAGCAAGTCGGTGCCGGGGCGATCGGGCAAGTCCTGCCGGCTGCGGTGGTGCAATCAGCTATCGCCGGAGGTGGAGCACCGGGCGTTCACTCCCGAGGAGGATGAGATCATCGCCGGGGCCCACGCCAAGTACGGAAATAAGTGGGCCACCATCGCCAGACTCCTGAACGGCCGTACGGACAATGCGATCAAGAACCACTGGAACTCGACGTTGAAGCGGAAGTTCTCGGCTCTCTCGCCGAACGAAGACGGCGCGACGATCGACGAAGGTATACTTCGTCCGGAGAAGAAAGCTGCCACGGCGGCGGTGTCGTTTTCTGGTCTCTGTTACAGTCCGGGGAGCCCGTCCGGATCCGACGTCAGCGAGTCTGACGTTCCCGCCAGCTCATCCTCTCAGGTATTCCGGCCCGTGGCAAGAACCGCCGCTATCGTAACTCGAGAGTCGCCTCCGAGTCAGACTGAGTGGTGCGAGCCGTCGACTCTGCTGACTCTGTCATTACCGGGAGCGGAGTCGGCGTTGCACGAGTTGCCAACCAATGAATCGGCCCCTCACCGAGGACAGAGAACGGCGTCGTTGCAGCCGGAGAAGGAGACGAATGTCAATAACAGCAATACGATGTCGTTTGGGCCGGAGTTTATGTCAGTGATGCAGGAGATGATTAGAAAGGAAGTGAGGAGTTACATGGAGGGAGCAGCGTGCTCACAGGGTGAGGGCGTGAGGAATGCTGGGGTTAAGCGCATTGGGATTAGCAGGCTCGATTGAAAGTATAAAGCCAGAAACGAAAACATGGGATTAGGAAGTCAAGTAATCAGGATTAGGGAGTTGATGAGAAAAAAGAAATAATTTTGAGGATGTACAGAAGGCTATCTATTATTTTTTTGAATGTACAGAAGGCTTTAGAAATTTGAATTTTATTTCGATTTGTTGGGCCCAAATTTCGGTTGTTGATTTCGTAATGGCACTGTTCCGAAAACTTTTGCCCGTCCATAGCTCTCTTCGTTCCATCCCTCTCTCCCTCTCGTCGCACTCTCCCATCTCAATTGAATCCAAAATTCCAACAACTTTCTAGAATTCAAGAATTCTATTGGAACAAGTTGAAGGGGGAGCGTAGAGTCGAAGGGGAGCCGCGGGTTCACCATCGTCTTCCCCTTTGCCTCGACCTCTACACCAATCCCACCTCCTCCATTTTCTGCTCCGCTTTCTCCTCTTTGAGGTCAGCAACTCCAAGCTTGAGTATGCTTTGAAGTCTTTGTACATTATTTTTATGAGTTGATTTTGCTAACACTCAAAACTTGCAGGTTAACAAATTACAACAGTTAATCCTTGGTGGGCTTGGAATATGAATTGGAATAAAATGGACTTCAAATTTAAGTGGTTTGCCTCTTAAAATTTGGCTATATCCACTATGTTGCTCGAATTATATTGATTTCAAGATTACAAATAGCGCTCAACTTAACACAAGAAATCTCTCTTACATCAATCCTCCGATCCCCTTACAAGAGATTCCCACCCCTTTATATGCTCTCTATGAACCCATAAGTCTTGGGCTCACCTAACCTCACTTACTCTCTCATTTAATGTGCCATTTTTCTTGACTAACTTGCTGACAACTTTTTATCCATCAATTTGATATTGGGAGAGTGAAGTGATGTTTTCTCACTCAGGATTGCACGCCTTCTTAGAGTTATGCATGCCGCCTAACTTGCTTGGCCTCAGTTAACCAACCATGTCCTTTTGAGCAGCAATCCAACTACCTTTATGTCCCTCATAGACCCTTGATTTTGATCGTGGAATGACAAGTGGCAAATAGTTACTATCTGAGTAGGCCTGCTCCTGAAATTTGTGCCATAAAGATGTCAGCCTGTCCACGTGCATCTCGCGGTTGGAATGTACTTTATGTAACCTAGTTGGACTAAGCCATCAGGCGGTCAACTTTAGCTCTCAGAATATCTTCTTTTAACTCCTTTGGGCTTTGGGCTTTTTAATTTTCTCTGTCTTTAACTTCAAGTGTGCTTTTCGTGGCCTCTTTCCCAGCCTGCACCAGGAATTGAGTTTGTAGGTTGGTTCCACTGGAGCTCTCCAGAGCCTTCATTCTTTTCTCCACATCCACTAAGTTTGCGCAACTCTTCACGTAAAAAGCAGTATAGGCTTGTTGCAACTTGTCAACAGTAGAGTTGATCTTTAACAAAGTATCATACACATGTTCCATAACAGGAGGGGACCTATTAGCACTAGCCTCGCCACTCCATGGGGTGGTTGTGTCCTTAGAAGTTTGATTGATTCCTTCAAAAGTGGTAGTAATAGTATTGCAGGTATGATTACCGTTGACCTGCGCAACAAGTTATATGTGGCTAGGCCGCTATTGGGTGTTTAGTCAATGCCAGTGTTGACAAAGCTTTTTTCAAGGTTCATGGTTCATTGGTAGAGTGATATGGTCGAGAGGTTCTTAAGTTCAACTCTTAATGAAAATACCAATTGTTGGAACCAAATTCGTGCATCACCATGAGTGATAGAGATGCTCGAATCTGTTTACCTATGAAAGAACGCATAACTGTGAGTAAGCCTAGGACCAGAGGAGGGGGGTTATGCTAGTCAAAGGCTTTTTGATGGTCAAGTAAGTATGAAATATTAAGACTTAAGCAATGGGCAAGAGATAAGTGTGGAGATATTGCATTACCAGAGTTTAACCTTAGAAAGGTGTATTTCTAATAGTCAAGGATATGACTTTTTAGGAAAGTAGAATCCGTATTAAAGTGGGAGAATCCATGAGGATATTTAAGAAGTAGATATTGCATCATCTTAGGAGTGATTACTTGCATTGCACACCAATCCTTATACTGTAAGGACTCCAAGATTATAGGTGTAGACATGTAAATTTTGTTGCATGCAAATGATGTGATAAGGATTTTACCACGCACGCAAAAGGGTTAAAATCTCCTATATTACTTGCAAGAATTACAAGGTTATAGTAGTATAAATGGATCTCGCAAGGTCGTTCTCCACATGAATTATTAATAATTCAAAGCAAACCAAATTCCAATTAATTATTGTAAAGTAGAAATTGAGATGATTGATTTTACAAACTACTTAAATTAAAAACGAATTTAATTAATAAAAGTAAACTAATCTGCAATACTAAAGATGAAAGAAAAGGAGAAGTTTTGGAGAAATCAAATTAACAAAGCACTAGGGATCCACCATTACCTAGCAATCTTATGAACTTTTACCAATCACTTATGATCTACACATGCCACTTTGAAGGTTAGGTTTTCCTAATTTATATTCTACTTGGAACCTCCAACATAGAACGTATATCTAACATGCAACCCGTCCGGACGTTCGGATCAAATCTGAACATGAAAGACTCATTATGCTTTATGAAAACCCTTTGAAAAACCATGCAACCCTTAAGATGTGGTGTTCATCCTAAGGGAAATTACAATTATTAATCACAAGAAGCCAGAGTCAATTTCAGGGAACCTTCCGACCAAAATTGTATCAAATTACTTTTCTAAAGATCCTAATGGTGATCAGGCATTAAGACAATTAGATAATTTTAATCCTGGTGATTAATAATTCAAAGTAATCATGCAATCAATCATAAGCAATTAAATAAAAATCACATATTCATGCTAAGGCTCAAGGCTTTGCCCTAGCAAAAGGAATTAGTTATGCATATTCATAATTAAAATCATAGAAAATATTATTAAGAAAATGATTGAAAACACTTTAAAGTAGAAAATCTCCAAGAACCCTAGCAACTCTCTCTGTCTCCAAAGTTGCATAAAACAAAGCGTACCATAGACTAGGGCCGGCTAAACCTTTTTAAATCCCCCAAAAACCATCGCACACTCTCTAGAAAACAAAGTCTTCTTTTTCCAATAGGAAACTAAATAATAATAAAATATCTTAGAAAATAAAATCCTAATTAAGTTTGGAGAATCTGCAAAGTACTTGTCCAACCACATTTTAGCCTCAAATATCCTCAAAATCCGGCTCATAATAGCTTGTTTTGAAGATCGGGGCGTTTTGAACACATCTCCAGAAGGCCACGAACTCATCACGTCCTCCAATTTGAATCACTTTAAAATTCGTCCGTTTGATCATGTTTTTCTCTAGAGGAAGTCGGCTGTCCTATATTGAAAATATAAATCAAAGTATCAAAATTCTACCAAAATAATTACCAAAACATACTAAGAATAGGGTAAAATATATAATATGAAATTGACTCATCATTATGCATCACAAAGCTCCACGTGGCATATAACTCATCACAAATGGACAAGTCATCAATGACATGTGGCACAATCAAGCAAATGAAGCTCAAAAGCATCCTAAAATGCAACAAAGGGAAAGAAATCTCCTTAAAATCGGCAAGGGGCCCAAATTGCTCCCAAAAACTAGAAAGAAAGCTAAAACATCTTCACAAAACAAGTAAGAATTGAAGATTTCTCACAAAATAGGCAAGAAAGCCCTATAAATTTCGGCCAAGCAAAGGAAAGTGGCTGAAATTAAGACACAAAACATGCCTAAATTCTCCCATGGATGAATCAAGACACAAATCAATACCAAATCCATCCAAAGGCAAGCTTTGAGAAGTCTATAAATACAAGGTCCTTATACAAGCATAAAGGTCTACAATTTCTACATTCAAAGGCCGAAATTCTCACGTTGAGAAGAACCTTTGCCAAATCTTTGAAGACTAATACGCTGCCAAAGATCTCTTCAAAGAACGCACAACCAAAGCCGAAACATTCCCATGAAGAATCTACAAGCACTTGTGCCGATTCCTTCAAGACTTTGTTGCAAGCTCAAAACTTGTAACGACGTTTGATTCAAAATCAAGTCGTCAAGACCCTTGAATCAATGAAATCCTACATCAACATCACCTTTGCCACAGGTCATACGCAAAGCTAGAAGTGAAGATTATCCACACATTGTTTCAAGCTCAAAACTTGAAGCAATCGTTCAATCGTTCGTCCGAGATCAAGTCATCACCACCCTTGAATCAACAACCTACGCATCTACATCAAATTTGAAGATTGAATCAGAGGAAAATTGTAAACAGAGATTGTAACCTTACAAATTCATCAATACAAATCTACTTTTCGTGTTTACAAATTTGGTTATCGTTTCATTTGTTACAGAATTTTCGTGTTTACAAATTTGGCATGCCTAGTGGGACCTCTCTGCCTCTCATTTCTGTCTTCAAATCCACAAGAAACACACATGGCATCAGGAAAAATTCAAGCTGTTCCCGCAACCAACGCGAAGAACAAGAACATCATTACCGCAAGTGGTGGCACTTTGGGCATCATAACCCCGAAGCAAGGCAAAAACTCTCTCTGCCGTGCTTTCCACCCCTACATCAATTCTGCTAGAGGAGCAAGAGCACCCGAGGCATGAACTCATGATCACCCTGGCCTCACTAAGGGCGCCAAGGGAAGAAAGCCCGATGAGGTACTTCGAGTTGTTGACTTTCGATGCCGACTCAAATAGTAGCTCGTATCCTGTAGCCATATAAGTCATGACTACTGGTGCGACTTCAATTGAGGAGTAGCTGGCACAAATGAGTGAAGCAATTGCAAGGTTGACAAGGATAATGGAAGAAAATGACTTGCAGATTGCTACACTCGTCAATCGTTTGGAGGCGTAGCACGACGAGAAAGCTAACCTAAAGGTTGATCCACCAAATAAAGAAATCGACGAAGAAGATGAGCCTCTGGTAGAGAAAGTCGAAGAGAAGTTGGAGGTGGATCGAGTTACCACGCTCATGGGATCTCTCTCTATCTAACAGCTGCAAAAGATAATCACAAGCACCATCGAGGCGTAGTACGAAGAGAGTTCACATGACTCCGTGTTGTACTCAATACTCCAAGAAGATTGATGCCTTGAGGATGCCA